AATAAGCTTAGGATGAGAAAAATTATCATAGTGGTGAGGGACATAAAAAATAAAAACAAGAAAAAGATTAATGCAGTTCCATTAGTAGTCAGCTTTTAGCTGCTTTACTTTTCCTATGATTCTTTCAAATGAGAAGAAAGCTTAACACTCAAATGATCACATTTTGCTCTCTCTGGCGCCCTCCTTCTTGGAAGCTTAGATCCACAGCCCCGTTTAAAGAGCAGAGCTTCAATCATTTCACTGGCATTTGCTGGGACCTGCTCGATGCCCTTCAGGGCCTCTTACTTTCATTTGGAAAACATTTTCCTACCTTATTGATTTGCTACTCTGGACATATTTTCTTCATCACTTGAACGAATGTCTCCCTAATTAGAAGACATCTATCCATTGACAAGCTGGAAAGCTACTTCCAAATTCTCTTCTGCTTCCCAAACTGTGTATGATATAGAACATGTTAAAGGTAGGCATGTGGTGATTGACAGCATAGACACCCACTTTGTCAAGTGGCTCAGTTTCTCCCGAATTATGAAATTCAGTCTGGAAATATTGTCTGAATTTTGGGAAAGTGGAGGCTTTCCATTTCCCATTTTTGGTTCCAGTTATAGATACATGCTAGAGAACTTACAGATTCTTGCTAAGTGGCAGAGAGTCCCCTGTGAAGTATAGTTACATGAAACTCGCAAACTCTCAACTGCCTGCTTTTTACTTCTATAACGAGATGGTTATTTTTCTCTTGTTTTAATGTACATATTAACTGTTCTAGAAAACAGCCACATTTCTTCAGCTTATCACTGGATACAGTGTTCTTTACACAAAATTGAGCATATACAGCTACTTACTGTTCCAGCAGTGCTTGATAATCAGGTGCAAAACAAGGCTTAGCTGAAGAAGCTAACGGTTTTCTCAGTTATTTAACATGATACCATTAGGTGCCATTTACTAGGAACAAAAAAACAGAAAAACAGAAGCACACTGTGAAGATGTGTGAATTGTTCTTCAGTGAAGGAGGTTTGTGTATATAATTGAGTTTAGTTGTTTTTGTTTATAGAACTCCTGTAATTTCCCTGGGCCAGATTCTGAGTCAAAAGAAAAATACCAATGTGCTGAGGCAACAGCTGTTCCCAGTTCTTCAGGGTGGTAATTCTGAGCCCAGTGATGTGCTCATTCTTCTTGTGAAATGATGCTTTTTGGTTATAAAACCTTGTGTTCTTCCCCAGTGCTACAATAGTGGATGTTCTTATAAAAACAAGGCTGTTTAACAGATATTCTGAAGGAGAGAATAACTATGACCTCATGTGTGGTTCATGAACCCTTCTCTGAAGTATTCCTGTAATCTGATTTTGTATTGCTGAGCACATTTTTAAACCTCACCATATAGTTCCATCTTTGTAAAAAGAAGAATAAGACTGTAGGTAGTCTTTGTATTTTCAGTAATGCTTGTCAGTTAGGCAGTGATAACACTGTATTAAATCAACCCAAAGTGATATGGCTGTCCTGTCAAAACCTCATCTCAGCTATTCTTTCAATTTCCAACTGTTAGGAAGAGGTGTGCTAATCTTATTATTAAATTTTTTTTAATTTACTAAAAAATAATGAGGGCTCACTTACCTGGTTCTAGACCATATTTAAAATGGATATTTATCAAAACTGTATATTATTTTGTTAAAGAAAATGTGATAACTTGCAATGGAATAACATGGGGGCCAGAAGTTAAAAGCTATTTTGTGTCGAGGACAGGGCGCAAATGACAGATTGATAGGGAAAAAATAGCACTTTTCAGATATTTGTTTTGGTGTGGAGAAGAATCTGTACTCTGCACACAATTGCACAATGTAAAGCAGAGGAAGGAAAAGCAGTGCAAGGAAAGTAACATATAAATAATGTGTTGAAATTACTTAAAAAGAATGTAACTCTATTTAATGTATATACAGTTTGTACCTGATACATAGGAAAGATACATGCATGGGGAAATCTGAAATTATCTTAAAGAAAAAAGTGCAGCCTCATAGAATTAAAATAAATTAAAATGATCAAACACTTTTACTGATGAAAGTTCATAACATGAGATTCCACCCCGCCCCCTCTGTGGAGAAACCCGTATGTTGTGGCTGACGTGGTGAATTGTTTAGTTCTGATCACGTTTGATCATGTTGTTGATGGTGGTGATGATGAAGATAAAATGTGCCAGACATGCTGAGTGAGTCGGGGGAATGGACATAGCTCACTCTCTGGCTCCATGAACATATTTGACTTCATTCCTGTCATTGAGCATGTCACACAAAGCTCTCCAGTCTGCAGTCCACCTTTTCAGAGTCATTGTCATTTTCTCTGAAGGCTATTTTCCTACATGCCACATTCTTTTTTTTTTTTTAAATCAAAAAAGTTTTTTTTCCCCCACACTCACGTTTTCACTCGAGTTTAGTAAATATTTTCTGCCGCGCCCTGAATACCCTGAATGCCTTTTCTTCCCCTGACATGTGGATTCTTACTCATCTTTTGCAGTTTTGTTCATATAGCCATCCTGTACCCCTCTGCCCCTGGATGTGCTCAGTCTTGGTTGCTGTGGCCTATTAGATGCTGAGGCTTCCTCCCTGGAAAACAGCTGTTTTTTTTGAGGTCCAGGGCTGTGTCCCAGCCATCTTTTTACATAAGATGAAACTTGTGTAAAAAGTGTAGAATGAGTGAATGAAGAAGCAAAAGGAAAGCTCAGTATTATTTGCTAACTCCTTCATGAAATTCTGTCAAACTGAAATGTGTCAACTTGATTTGGCATAAATGTGTTTTAGCAATTAATCAAACTGTAAGTCCTAAAGTTTGATTAATTGCTAAAATTGTTTGATTAATATAAAATTGTTTGATTAAAATAGTTTGATTAATTGCTAAAATTGTATAAAATGGGGGTACTGTGGTTACCACGGGCTACCTTATTTTGCATTAGGGTGATGTTGGTATTTGTACTTGTCTTGTTGCTTACTTGCTACAAAAGGAGGCTTTTACTGAGTCACTGACAGTTCTTACTGTTTATAAAGAAGCTCCAGGAGGTGTATTTATCAGCTCCTTTAAGAAAGGTTGCATTGATGAACTTTTCCTCAGCTATGTAGTGTTCTTAGAAGAAAACATGCTTGAGGACCTATCTTTTTAAAAAAATATTTATTTTTTAGTTGTAGTTGAACACAATACTTTACTTATTTATTTTTATGTGGTGCTAAGGATCGAACCCAGGGCCTTTCACATGCTAGGTGAGCACTCTACTGCTGAGCCACAACCCCAGCTCAAGGACCTATCTTATTCTCAGAAACTTTTACATACTTTTTTTTTTTTTTTTTAACTTTTGGAATCCAGAGCTGAAAAATCTTCCCTACAAAGTATTCATCCAGGTAAATATTTTCATGCAAAAATATTTACTTCAAGATGCAAAATAAATGCATGAAAAGATATTTGTATTAGCCAAATAAAGGTTTATTTGCAGATGACATAGCCCACTTTTGATATGATAGATGTTTCTTTTTCATGCAGTAGTTTGGATGCTGGAACCCAAGAGAAGTCTGTGGCCTTGTTTTAAGTGGTGATTTGGAGTTTGACTTGACATCTTATGGTGTTAAACATTCAGGAATCTCTTATTCTTTTGTATTTAATATTTAATATTCGTTAATTTCCTTTGAAACTTTTGTTTATTGATCTTATTGAGTGACTATTTAATTGACAGTTGTGCTTGACTGGAAGTAGAAGTCATGGTTTATTCATGGTGTTTTATGGGTTTGGCATGGTAAAGCAGTCTTGACAATAAATAATTGGGGAATTATTGGAAGCTTGGATATTATGGAGGAGGGTCATTGATCTATATCTGTTTGCAAGACTCCTGTGATACGTGTGTGGAGCTCACTGTCCAGGGAAGGATGAAGGGTAGCACTTATCTCACCAGACAGAGGGAAGAACAAATTAAGTGATCCTGAGGCTCTGAGGACCAAGAGTTTATTCCTAGTGTGTGAAGGAGGTCTCACGGGGAATAATCCAACTGGACTTCTCTGGAGGATGGGGGGAGTTTAAATAATAAAAATGGAGTCAAGGGCAAAGAGGAGCGGAGAGGTAATGGGAGAAGGTGGGCATATAAAGTACCAGAAGGAGTGTGCCTAGTGTGTTCACACTGGTATCCTGTTTCCATGTACTGAGCGCTTCACAGATGCGTCTGGAATGTAGAGAGGAAGGACATTTGTGAGTCAAGGGAGGGGGTATAAACGTTGCATTTATCCTTGTCCTTTTTTTTTTCTCTTTCTGATAGGACGGTGAAGGTAAGTTTCATCTTGAAATCCTTGATAACACTTAATTGATTTTTAATGTATATTATTTACGATGTTTCTTTGAGCTACACTAATCTTTAACACCTCATAAATATGATTTGAAATGAAATTATCTTTGTATTTTTGAATTAAGGCGTCATAATGACAGTATTTGTAAATGTGTGACTTTTAAAGGGGGACATGGACCCTGAGTGTTCCCAGAGGGGCAAGCTGTAAGTGCTTTCTGAAGTTAGAAGACTGCGCAGTCCCATTTTACTGTCATATTCTGCCAATACATCATTTAGAGAAAGTTCCAGAGAAAATTCCAATTCCCACTGAAGATCAGAGTGATGATAGGATTTTTCACTTAGGTTTGCAGAAAGGTGTAGTTAGCTTTGTGCACAAAACAGGCTGAAATCAAGCTTTAAATTAGTTAGACTTTTGCATATTTCATCATAGTCACTTTGGAAGTCTTGCAGAATATGTTCTTGATTTTTATCTCAAAGGGTTCATTTTAAAGGACTGGTTATCTTTTATTAGTTCTTTGCTGCTCAGATATCTATATCTTTCCAGCAAAGCCATGACAACACACCTAGTCTTTTAAAGAAATGAATTGATATATAAAAAAAGTTGGTCCTGTTTAATAACATTCTTGGTATGAAAATAATCAATCTTAGAGACAGGAAAGTAAGTTAAGGTTCTTTTGTCTTTTTGCTTCTACAGGCCGTCCATCTGGCCCAGGCAAGCTTCCAGATTGAAGCCTTTGGCTCCAAATTCATTCTTGACCTCACACTGAACAAGTAAGTATACCATCATAATCCTCTAAAGCAGGTACCATAAAATTCTATCTCTAAGACACTGGTTTAGTAAAAATAATGTCTGTTACCATTGAAGCACTGTGTTTTCTATCAGATTATATGTCATAGAGCACTTAAAGAAAAATACAAAACTCTGAACAGTGAATTGTCTTTATATCCTTTTCCTAAAAGAAAAGACATTTAACGTATTAAATATCTCAAATACAGCACTTACATATTATGATTTTGAAGAGAATAAATATTTGAAGTAATGCTATTTAATTAAATGTTAACTTGAATCATCACTATATATGAGAAGTATGATAAATTACTGATTGAAGTATAATTAGACTTCAGTCTAGAGATTTCTTTCATTTTACCTTTTATAATTCAATGCACATGACTCTGTAGGAAGAACAAAGTAAGTAATGACTTGCAAGTCCCTATTTTGAGAAGGCTCTTTGCTTCATAATTTGCTTTAAAATAAATTCTTAGAAATTTGGTGCTGTTGAAAATTTACCCAGTTGTCTCCGTGCATGTGTTTATATTGATATTTAAATGCAGTTTCCTAATCTGGAACCAGTTGTACAGATGTTTTTGTACAAAAGTAAATAAGAGATGCCATCTTAACCAGGCTGAAGAGCTCCAATAGAGCTAGTGCTGAGTCTTTCTTTGTGAAAGGGATTTTCTGTGTAATTTTCTTCAGTTACAGAAACTTTAATCAGTATTTTCAGTTCTCATCAGTATTTGGACCAGGACTGCATTTTTGCAGGAAAAAAGATCACTTAATGTTATTGGACACTATAATGTAGGTGACTGTAGCCAATATCTACAGGAATTACAAAGGACTATAAAGAACAACTATTAAATTTCTTGCGTGCCAAATTCTGTGAGCTCTGCAGAAAAAAAAATGCAGAGTCAGCTTGGGTGCTCCTTACTCAAGCATTATTGCAGCTTGAAGTCAGAATGAATCAGCAGAACTTAGAATTTCCTGTGTTAGAGATATTGCAGGTTTTCTTCTTTGGTTGAGTTCCATTTCACCACGCTGTATCAGCACTGTGACTGCTGAAGAGATTTGTCTTGCCAAATCAGACTATGTTGAGTAGCAAGATATGGCTAATTTTAGTTTGTTTGGGTCCTCTATTCTTTTAATGCTTACTGCAGTGCACACCATCATTCTAGAATTAGCATGATGACAGTAACCACCACTGCTATATTTTGAATGTTAAAGTATTATGACCACAGCAGAGCCTCATAAACAAATAGTGGATGACTAAGAAAGGGTCATACGGGATGTACAGTGTACTTAAGAATCCTGGGAACATACCAGAAATCATTTATCACTAATATTTAAAATGCAAAAGAATTACATTGAATATCTATTATGAATAGATATTCAATGTAAGGAATTCAATTGCATTGAGGAATTTGGAGTGGGGGAAGTTTTATAGATGGATTTTTAAAATTTTTTTAATTTAATTTTTTTTTGTACCGGGATTGAACTCAGGGGCACTAGACTACTTAGTCACATTCCCAGCTCTATCTTATTTTATTTAGAGATAGGGTCCCACTGAATTGCTTAGAACCTTGGTTTTGCTGAGACTGGCTTTGAAATTGCAATCCTCCTGCCCCAACCTCCCAAGTTGCTGGAATTACAGGAGTGTGCCACCATACCCGGCAGATGAATATTCTTTTAGAAGAGTGGGAAATGTGTCTTGCTGGAGGTTAACATGGAATGTTATGGTAGTATAACTTAACACAAAGGGTTCCCCTCTTTGGTGAGTGCAAAGCCAACTAGCATAATCAGGAGATAGAAGAGTGAAGAAAGTCTTTTACTCACAGCAAGTAAGGAGCATGTTGGAGATGACTCCCAAAGCAGCATGTCTCTGAACATGGGAAGACTCCTGCATATTTGTATAGGAAAGACTTATCCCAAATAGAGGTGGGCATATTCCTGAGCATGCTCAGTTCAAGTTCACGCTTCTTCCTACATTGCATATTCAAAAATGGTGGATGGGAATGCCTCTGGGGTGGACATTTTAACATGATAAAAAGATTATAATGAGCAAAGTTCATTGTAGGTCACTTAAAAGAGTGACTTAGCAATTTTGCCTGGTTCAAACCATTCCTTGTGGTTTTCTTTGAAGGACTTTATCTGAAACAAACAACAACAACAACAACAAAAATAAACAACTTGAAAGGATGTTAGCAGTCATTTGAAAGGGCAGCAGCTCCTTTCACTGCAAATACCTGTGTATGTCCCTGAAAGTTCCTGCCTAGCAGTTAATGGTCACATCAAGGAGAGGCAGCTTCTTGGGCTGGAGAAATGTCAAAAGGCATCTTGGAAAAGGTGATGTTTGAGCCACATCTTGGAGGACAAGTGATGGTCAGGAAGGGGAAGTGTTGGAGAATAGGAGGGAGAGGGAATAAAAGGAGAAATGTGGTCTAGGCATGTGAGGCCGTGTTTGCTAAGGAGGCAGGGCCATGTGGAAATGTGGCAGGTTGAGGGAGCTTCAGATGTTTGTTGAGCTTCCTTGTAAATTACAAGATGGCGGCAGAAAAAGATCATTCAGGAGAAGTAAAGTCTGGGATGTTCCTGGAGTCCTGGGCTAGAGGGGAGCCTTTCTTCAGGAAGTCTCTGCAAATCAAATCTGGCCACCTACCTGAAACCAAATGGAAAAAGGATTGGAGAAAGGAAGGAAAGGAATTTATTCAGTATGGTTTTACCAGGAAGACAAGGGGAATCAAGCATGCTCAGCCCTTTCCTCAGGGGTACTGGCATGAGTTCCCCCATTATATAGAGAAGCAGAACCAGAAATGTGCATAGTCAAGCAGTCTTGGTCAAACTGTGGACTGGTTGATCATTGTCTTAGGATTGGAGTGTGCTGTTGTCTGGGGTAGTTTCCACTCATGGCAGGATGTTCACTGATCAGACCTGCTGTTGCTGGCCTCCAAGGGGACTGAAGGAGAGAATGACTCAGAGAAAAGGCAGGTCAAGAAATCAAGATGACATTAGTTCCTTCAGGTTTGGAGACAGGATGTTGTAAAAATTGGCATTTGGCTATGTTGATTATGATGTCCCTTCAAATCTGGAAAATAAGGCTGGGGTTGTCACTCAGTGGTAGAGCGCTTGCCTAGCATGTGCGAGGGTATGGGTTCGATCCTCAGCACCATATAGAAATAAATAAATAAGTAAAAGTATTATGTCCATCTATGACTAGAAATATTTTAAAAAAAGAAGCAAATTTGGAAAATATCTTAGTTACTCTTGTTAAGGCTTGATTCTAAAATTTCAAATAAAACTCTGGGTCTTTTTGAAGAAAAGACAGAGTATTTATTCTGGTCAGGGCCAAGGAAGCAAAAAGTAGACAGTTCTGCAGTCCAGGACAAAGGGTGCAGGTGGAGAATCAAGCTTTAAGAACTAAAAACCACAAAGGAGCGGGAGGGTGAAGCATGTACATAAGTCATAGAAGTGGAAAGTACCAACTAACAGAACATTCTTAGAATTCATATTTCTCGTATCTACTCAAAACAGCTCCATAATTTCTGTGGCCAGGGTGCAAGTGGGGGTCAGCTTCTATGCAAGTGGACTCGTGAGGAAAGGGTTGGGCAATTCTGTGCAGGGTGAGATGTCTGAGCAGAATGGAGTCAGCCTGACTTAACTTTCAAATCAGCCCATAACACTGTGTGTGTGTGTATGTGTGTGTGTGTGTATGTGTGTGTGTGTGTATGTGTGTGTGTGTGTATGTGTGTGTATGTGTGTGTGTGTGTGTGTGTGTGTGTACTAACCCCAGGGAAACCCTATCACTGAGTCACATCCCTATCCCTTTTTATTTTGATTTTGAGCCTGGGTCTTGCTGAGTTTCCGAAGCCTCAGATTTATGATTCTCCTGCCTCACCCCGAGTCTCTAGGATTATAAGCTTGTACCACTGTGCCCTGCCCTTAGTTGGTGTCTTCAGCTTTAAAGGGGTAAATTACCAGCTTTAGATGAACACTACTTAAATGATTAGCATGCCTACACACAGAGCTGAGCAGGAATCTGAACCAAAGTTTAAGATAATGAAAGAGAGAGGTACAAAATGAAAGAAGAGATGCCAACCTTTTAATTTTGCTTATAGTTTACACCCTGGACATCTGCAAGCCTGTGAAGAGTCAGTGCCTTTAATAAAAGCACTGGCCTCTAAGTCCCTTTTAAAGGGACAACTCAGTGCATGGAAGATCAAGCTCAAGTGTTTGGCTGTTATCCTTTGGACTGAGAAGAAGTCAAGGGGAGCAAACAAAGGTCTTATTCTCAGGCAGGGAGAAAGGCGGATTTTCAATAAATCTTCAGTTGATAAAAAGTATTAAAATTGCCTCAACTTGGATGACAAAGCAGATAAAAGAATAAAACCAATAGAGGAGCCTTGACTGGACAGCTGGGCAGAAGGTGGACCAGCTGCCACATGCAGCTCCAGGGAATAAACAGGTTAAGTGGTGAAGGGAAGGGAAGTCAGAAAAGACAACAGAGTTGAGGGGCTTTGGGACACACATGGGCTCATATTTAGGGAGCAGTTGAAGTAAACCTTAGGGGAGAGGTGGAGGCTAGAGAGAGTAGACTTGAGAGTCACTTCCATATAGATATTAATGATAAATATGGGTATAGATGAGGTGGCCCAGGAAGGGGAGGTGGAACAAGAACAGTGGTAGGGAGAGGAAGAAGAGCTCGTGAAGGAGACTGAGAACGAGTGATTGAAGAAGTTGGTGGAGAATAGGGAGAGTGATTAAACTGAGAGTTTCAAAACAGAAAGGTGTGGTTTACAGCATCACATGCAGCGGAATGATCTGGAAGGAGCAAAAATTGCCCTTTGCATTTTCCAATCAAGTTGTCACTTATGGTCTAGAGGCAGCAGTTTCAGGGAAGCTCCCAGAGGGTGGAAGGCAGGGTTAGGGTATAGTGGGCTGGGAGTGACTGAGGAGAGGTGATGTGGAGACAGGAAGTACCCATTGAGGAGGTTTGGGGGAG